GTCCCCAGATGTTCTTGGACTACACTTCCCCGAAATCCTGGCCGGCACAGTTAGTGACGATGGCTTCTGGGAGTTGCAGTTCACAAACATCTGGAGACCCAAGACTGGGAACCACTGGCGTAGAGGGTGCCAAGTAGAGGGCATCTGAGTTAAACTGATGCAAGGCTGCTGACCTTAAATATTTTCTACACATTGCTTTGTTTAACCCACCAAGTAAGTTTCCATAAAGGTTAATCTGAGATTTCATTCGCCCGTTGATTAGATTTGCACAGTGAGCCATCCTCGTGTTTTGCAGAGCACTCTCTCAACGCAAACCATCTTGTTATAAAAAGGGAGAGGTGGGCAAACAAGAGGCAGGCTCACATTTCCGTCCCCCCCCTTTCTCACTCAGCACTAGAGAGCCAGCAGTTTAAAGGGGAGCCTAGGCGTGGATGAAAGATTAGTCACTATCGCCAAACAGAGAAACTCCGCCGCAGTAAACAGAGAACGGAGGGAATCAAATTTACCGGTTGGAGTAGGGTTTCATGTTGAAATTCTTTTCCTCAGGAAGCAGGACCAAATGCGAATATAATAAGACGCGTCCCGAATCCTCCGCCATCACTGAGGATCAAGATTTAAGCTGTCTTTGGGAAAGGGAGCCTGGGTGCAGGCATTTTCCCCCGGTGCCGTTTGAGACGAATCCTCATTTTCGCAAATCCTCTAATCTTAACCTGTGCTAGGCTTTAATTGCATTTGTTTCATTTGCCTTTATCGTGGCTAAAGGCAATCAGTGGTCTCTTTGGGAGAAGAGCAGATAAAAATCCAAGAAAAAAAGAAATCCGGTAAATCAATAGTTGCACTGCGAGAGCACAGGACAGACATGGAAACAAGCAAAAGAAATCAATCTGTTTAGCAAAGACTACCTCAGATAATCCAGTGTGGTGTGGGGGCTAGAGTGACAGCCTAGGACTCAGAAGGCCTGAGTTCAAATCCCCACTCAGCCATGGAAACTCATGGAAGAAGCGCATTTGGTAAAACCCCTCCTTAAATATCTCATATACATTGAAAGCCCTATACGGTTGCTGTAAGTCGGTTCCGACTTGAGAACGTATAACAAAAAGGATAGCAGAAATGGGATTTTCATATTCTCTCTGCAGAAAAATCAGCAGAAAAGATCAGCCCATGGCAACCCAGCTGCCACCCAATCTCTTAGACTGCAGTCGAGATGAAGGGAGATGCACCCCAAGAAATGTCATAGATACCTGCTGGGAAAAAAATGGGTTAGATTTTGTTTTAATTCTGTTGTTCTTATAACTTAGGCCATGATAGGGAAGCTATGATCCTGGAAAGCAGCTAAGAAATCAATAAGCACACGGGTGGGATACGAAACAGATCCAGTTTGTAAAATAGACCGTGTTCCTTCCACTCATGAAAGAGAACATTTTGATCCAGTCATCTTGTCAAGGATTTAATTTGGTTCATTTCTCAGCTGTGCTGTAAGAATATAGTCTTCCTAACGTGCCCCTAAAGCCTGAAAGACTGCCCAAGGAAACAGTAATAAATCACGTCACATATAAACCATTTTCACTATCACTGGCTTCTGTGAAATAAAATTAAAATCAATGGATCTTCCCCATCATGCATTGCATGTTGGCCAACAAGTTTTCTTATAAGGCGAGCCTTCAAATTCTGAAATCAAAGTTTGGGACAGTAAGGCCAACTCTTGGAAAAGTTGGCTATGTGCTGCTGACCTCTTTTTTTTTATCAGCTTCCCTGCTTCCATGACTGGGAAGCAGCTGTCCTGTGGTGGCTGCTTGAATCTCCTGCCCTTCGTGAATGTCCATTTGCGACGTGACAGGTTTAAAAAGTGAAACTTTCTGGCCAGGGAGTGCTTTGCTGAGCAACGGAAGCCCATGCTCCAAACCACGTGCTAAGATCAGGATGTCAGAAACACACAAGAGCTATTGCTGGCCCATATTTTACCAGAGAGGAAGGAGGAAGGAGACCTAGCTGAGGGGCAAAACTCATGCTAGGCATACAGCACGTTGCCGTCTGAATCTCCAGCATCGTCCGGCAGAAAGAGGAAAGGAGCCTGCTCTGCAGTCACAGACAACCATTTCTGACCATCAATCCCAACACCACCATTCCAGAGTGACCACTGGTCTGATTCCCAGCTGAGGAAGAACATTTCTGGAAGGAGCAACCAGCAAGAAGGAACTGGGCTTTCCCTTGCTCCTCCCTTTCCCCCTACGAAGTCTTCCTTTCCCACCTCTACTTTGTTGGCCACAATCCAACTCCGACCCAAATCCACGTTGAGAAGGCAAAAATAGAAGCAGGGAGCGGGGAAGCAGGGGCACTGGGGCAAGGCAAAGCTGCCGTTGATTTACGCCCTCATTCCCCTCCTGTTCACCAGCCGCCCTTGGCCAACAACTCATCAGCAGCCAGTCAACAACGTTTGGTTTTCCGCAACAGGTGGTGCGAGTGGAAGCCAAGGAGAACGGCCGACTCTTGGCGGGGCCACCAAGAAGATCACAGAGCATCGCAGAGGGCCTTTGAGAAAAGGAACCACCAGAACCTCTGGTTGGAGCATGAGAAGAACCCCTGAACCAAGAGAAGAAGAGAATGCCATGAACCAAGGTGTGCAGACTTTACCCTTCCTGCCCGTTCAAAATTCCATCTCCGTTTGCGCTTCTCAGTAAAGTTTACTTAGCTGCAGTTGGGTAAACCACGACCTCTTGGCCACCGGGTTAATGTGGAGTCTAAGCTGCTTGGTCTAACAGCATGATTACGAAGGAACTCCATCAGTCAACGGAGAAGACTGGTGGATAAAAGGCAGAACCAGATCCCCCTACGGCTCCCCGAGGCTTCACAGAAAGGGAACATTTCAGGAGGTCCAAGAATTTTGCATTTGCTGGCTGCTGTTTGCACAGACATCTCCGGATTCTACTTAAAAATCAAATCAACAAAAGGATATTAACGAGGGGGAAAACTAAAGGAGCGTGCGGAACAGTATCCAGAGGCTGGTGAGGAGGCTAAAAATAAGTTCCACGTGTCTTGTGCACAGGCCAATATCTATATAAAACAGACGGAGAAATAGATTTTGCTCTGAAATCTGGAGACAAAAGGCTGCTTAAAGATAGGAGGGGCATAAATAGAAACACTGTGGTAGCTCAGACAAGGCAAGAAGGAGCCCCACTTGAGATGCCAAGTCTACAGACTTGCGTTTGCCCCCCCCACATGGATATCTTGGGTTACACCTCCTCTTATACTCAAGCGGCTAAAAGTTGGCTTCTTGAAATGTTTAGCCAGGACTCAAGAGATTTAAGAAGGGGTTGGGGTTGGGGACAGGGACTATGGCCGCCCACCTTAATGACTGTCGGTCCATGAGTAGCCCCAAAGGACTGGCCGGCAAGAATATCTGGGGGGGGTCGTATCAACAATGGCCACCGCGCACCTGTCGCACGCTTTACAGAGACGGACAAAGCTTTCCGCAAGCCCTTCGCCGCAGGATCCGGTGAGGAGGATTAAGTGTGAAGGTTCTCCTGCCAAAGAATCCAGATGAGGTCCGCCATCTTTGCAAAGCAAGACTGAGCCAAATGATGTTCTAAAAAAAGTCGCCAGGCCTTGATCCGCCACCAGCA